GTTTCACCTACTTTCCCAATGACACTATTAGATAAATGCAAAAACAATGTACTTCGTTACAATCTCAATTTTATCAATTCTTTTAGTAGTATCAACCTCAAGTCCCCAACAATCATCAAGGGCTTTTGCACATCTTTGTTGTAAAAGTAGAGCTTTCATGTTCTAGCTCCATAGACTAAAGTTTCCGTTGCCATTCCAAATTTTAACATGTATCTTGGTACTTGCGACTTAAATAATAATAATAATAACTTGAAAACATGAACCATAGTTTCTTTATCGAAGTTTTGATAAAAGTTTTTTGGTTTTCTACCAATGTAGTAATTCACTAAGAAAAGAAAATTTAATATTTTTCACAAATATTTAATGTGATCAAGAAATCATATTCCAATTTAAAAGATTATCGTACAGAATGATCAATAGACAACAACATTGATAGTACGTGTTAATATACATAACACAAGAATTCAATATAGTGTAACTAATTAGATGGTAACAGTATCCTGAAGAAACCGAATTCTTAGTACCCTTAGATTTTAAGGTTATCGCATGAAACCTTAGACAAAGGGAGATCTAGGAAGATTTCTCTTAAGAGGTCCAAAATATAATACCAAATCAAAATGAAATTAGAGTATATGATCACAAATCGTTACTAGGTGATCGAAGTTAAAAAATATAAAACAGAGACTACTCACCCAGAGTAGATAAAGAACCCTCACAACACTATATTTTACAATCTCACCAAGAAATTATCAGAAAAATGGAGATAACAAACGAAAAAAAGACGAACTAAGATTACAGAGAGAAAAAATGGCACCACCAATAGAAAACCCTAGAATAATCTTTCAAATGAGAGATAAGGTATATATAGGGGCCATTTGAGCCTCATTATTTATAAATTATAATGAGATGAATAGCATTTTTTTTTGAAAAATGAGTAGTTGAAAAGTTTTTAATTTACGTGTGATATTATTTTATTGAAAATTGTGCGGTTAAAAGTAGGAGAGAGAAAATTTTAATTTAATGTAATGAGAAATAATGAGGCTCAAACGGGGGCATAAATAATCATACTACATGTACACTTTGTTTGACATCATTTTTTTACATTGTGCCATGTGCCGTAATAGAAGGGGACAGTTTTAAAATGAAACACACTCTCCCGCCCATTTCAATTAGAAAATCAATGGAGTGTCAACCATAATGTAAACAAAAGAATGTACAAGTGGCTTATTCCATATACAAATAAAATAAACCAATAACCATTGCATCAATGGCTACCAGTTATCCACGTGTCATCATCTCAACATTTTAATCATTTTACCAAATTTGTAAAATCAAAACACGAGTGTGCACATTGATAAGCAGTCGAATCAGGCTTCCAAATTTTTTCAATCATTGGGCCAAGTTGAAACCAAGTGTGAAGGCCCAAAAGGGGTTCAGCCCAACATTATTTCTTAAATAAAACTAGGTCTGGATAAAATCCAACTCAAACAAAACGGATCGGTTTAGGTCAATTTTTTAAGCTCAATTGGGTTGGGTTAAGTTGGAAAATTGAATTTGAGGTTGAGTTGGGTTGGGTCGAGTTGGGTCTCCGGTTATGAATCAAAACCCAACCCAACCTAACTCGATGAATTAAAAAATTTATATCTAAGATGGAAAAGAAATTAAATAGACACAATAGTGAAGATAAGAGAATGACTTATAATTTATAAACGTTCATTTTTTTCACATAGACCAATTCACGTGAACACTATGTACAAATGCAATGTTATTTGACGATAAAATAAAAATTAAAGACATGGTGATGAAATGAATGAATTCCAAAAAATTGTAAAAAATAAAATGCTTCTTAAAATTTAAAACTTATTTATACATTCTTTTTAGAAAGAAATCCTTACATATGTGTTTAAAAAATGGAGGGTTGGGTTGTGTTGAATTTAAATCAATAATTGGGTTGAGTTGGATTGATTTTCAATCAAACTGATCATGTTGAACTGGAAAAAAATCGACCCACCCCACCCCACGCCCATGCCCATCCCTAAATAAAACAACATCAGAGTGATTCTGAAATTAATGATACATTTGATTGTCAATATTTTTCATGGAAATTATATTTTTCTATCCAAATTTCTACTTTTTGTGCTATTTGATTAACATTTTTTTTATGGAAAACATTTTCATACTTTTGGTCACGTAATCATATTTTTCTCAAAATCAAGGAAAATAATTTTTTTTAGGGGAAGTAGAATTTTATTTTTCAAGGAATTCACTTTCTCTTTCTCTCTCTCATATATCCACTATCTCTTATCTACCCACCAATAAAAAGAACAAGTGTAATATTTTTTAGGTAGAGAATTAAATCAATCAAATACATTTAATTGAAAATTTTTATGCAAATAAGTTCTAGACATTTAAATTATATAGAATTTATTTTCTTTCCATACTAATTTAATGCTTACAATCAAACGCATCATAAATATACTACATAAACCAAATCAAATGCCATAAATATTATATTAAGAGATTAGCAAATATCTTTCCTGCACTGTCAAAAAACTCTTCTGAAAAGTAATAATTTAAAAAAAGCAGATTGGATTTAAAAAAAAAAAAAAAATGAAGGAAATTAGGGTTCCTCGTGATTTTGAATAGCGTCCTTGCTGTCCACTGGGTCAAGATCATGTGCACCGCGATGTACGCTGAACGATACTATTTTTCACTTATTTTTCTTAATGATTTACTTCTTTATTTCAGATATATCTATCTCTCTATATGTGTGTATATTTGATTGATTAAATGTTCTTTTTAATCTGCTGTCGCATGTACATGAAAATGGTAGATAATTAATAAGAATGCACGATATGTAAGTCAAAAGTTTAGATTTGACTCGAACATGGTATAAATTAATTTAAGATATTTTACCCCCCCCCCCCCCCCCCCCCCCCCCCCCCCCCCCCCCCCCCCCCCCCCCCCCCCCCCCCCCCCCCCCCCCCCCCCCCCCCCCTTCTTCTTCTTCTCCTCCTTCTTCTCCTTCTCATCAATTGCTTATCTCATTCTTTTATTGGTTTTTCTTTTACTATTTTTTCCCTTACAAATGTACTTTATATATTCTGCCCTACAAGGGGATGTTCCTCCTATACATGAATTTGACAAGTATTTTTGACAAATAATCGTGACATTTAATTTAAACAGATCCAACACTTAGTATCTCATGGATCTCAAATGGTTATAATTAATTCTTCCATGATCTTAGTGAAATACATACTGATCGTTGGATCTACTTAAATTAAAGTTCATGATTATTTGTAAAAAATACTAGTCAAATTCATGTGTAGGAGGAACGCTCCCCTTTTTATAAAACAATCAACAACATGGTATAGGACGGAGTGTAATTATAAAAATTGAGTTGTACAGGATCTTTCAAGAATTTGTTAATTAAATAGACTCAATTATAATCTTAAATAATATAATGAACTAAAAAAAATAATTCACGATCCAACTCTAATTGAATTTATTAAGAAAAGAATAATGCTTAAATTTTAGTTTAGTAGCTAATAAAACAAACAAATTATTTTTGTGTAATTGAAATATCGTACCTTTCCAACCATTGGATGCCTCTTATGCACGTGTTTATGAAAAATCATGTCCAGAAACCTAAGCAATTATCATAATAAATAGTACATTGTGGAGAATCCTAAATTCTTTAAAAATCATACAAACACATGGATATGACAACTTGGAATTCAGAACAATTAATCGAAATAGATTCCACGTAAATATGTTAATATTTGTATGCCGCCTTGATCAGAAAAAAATCTAAAAATTAAAATTTTATGATACAGGAGGAAAGTTAGTTCGCAATTGGATTCCATAGCCTTCTTCCATGATTCCATTGATTACTCATGCCTGGAGGTGAAGGCAATACGAAACAACCAAAGCTGACGAATTTACAAATTACAGTTTTTATTAATAAATAAACAAGTTTTGAAGACTCGATAGATATCTCAACAAATTCCAATGTCAACAGTTTACCGTGCATTAACCATAGATAAAAAGAGTTATGATTCACGTACAGGACAGAGGCTCACAGGCCTCTGTCAGGACAGACACAAGGGGTGGGGCCGCACAATTTTATTTTTTTTTAAATGCAAGTTGCAACTACCGACCTGCAATCTATAGTGAGGGGCTTGTAAGGCCCCTGTATGAATAATTCCTTGTACTCAGGGAATTATTGAAATAGAAATACAGAAGTAAGCCATTAACTCTTAGACTGGGATTGGATCTGCCAAAGAAGATGGTCTGATATCAAAGGATAAGCTATGGTTTCAGTGTAAACATAACTGCACATCACTGACCTCACTACACCAATTTAAAAATATTACAACTGAGAAAAGAATAATATTTTTCTGCACTAGAACAAGGTCGGCGTAACGTTTGAAATCTATGAGGAAACACACATGCTGCATGAAGATTCGACTAATCAATCCATGTATTATTATCAAAATTTCCTTCACTTTATAAAATTCTGCACTATTTTTTCTCCAAAATTTATAACAAGCATTACAGGATGAGTCTTGGCTTTTATCTTAAAAAAATTATCATTACTGAATTTGGAATATTCGTTTTTTGAGATCCTTATAAATTTGATATTGGGATTTCAATCTGTTAGCATTAAGATACAATGCAGTGTGTGTAGAGTCTGACAAACACGCAGATGCGACTCTTTGTTTATTGGCAACTCTTCTTTCTCTCCCCTTTCCATGTGTGGGTAAAGAGACAGTAGTATTATTATTAAGAGCCCACTTGAGATAGAAATAAATAAAAATAGTGAAAACCTAAGTTAAAGGACATAGGACATCGTGGAGTATCTCTTGAAACTATTGATTCATTTTTTTTTTCTTTTTTTTTTTTTTTTATCAAGATGTCTACCTTCGGCGACTATTCATTGGGTGTGTGATAACTATTGATTCTTACTTCTTAGTGAATAGTGAGTAGTACTCACTCTCTCCGAATGCCTATATAAACACAACCCACCCACTGCTATCTCTCATGCACTTCGCATCTTATTTTACTCTAAAACAACACTTCTTGTGTTCTTGTTCTGTGCTAAACCTAGTACTGTGTGTCATTACAATATTAATTTCTTGATCTCCTCCTCAAGAATTGCATTTCACTGTCAAATTAATACAAAAAATGTCGAGCCGAAGATCAAGATCAAGGCCATCAGGATCTTCAAGAATCAGCGAAGATCAAATCAATGAGCTTGTTTCTAAGTTGCAGCAGCTTCTTCCCGAGATACAAACTAGGCGCTCAGACAAGGTACCTTTAATTTCTCATCTATGTTTATATATGATCTCTCTTCACCATGTTTGGCTGTGCTTAAGATTAAGTTTTTGTTTTAAGTTACTTATTTTACCTAGCGTAACTTCCAAATTTACTTTTTTAACTAACAAAACTTTTCGAGGAATTAAGTTCTAATTTACTTCCTACAAACGAACATGTCATGTTAGTCTGTACGCTCCAAATTTTGTCTACAATGAAAACCCCAAACCAGAAGTAATACCACTAATCTTCATTATAAAATGTCAATTTTAAAAGGGAAATATTATCGAATTTAAGATGAATAACTGACAACAATTTTTGTGTACATGTCTTGTACTACTTAATCTGATTTAAGTGGAGAAATCATAGAGAACTGTCCTATTTATACAATGAATCAAGTAAATATATACTTCTTAACACTTGGGAAATATTCTATTCTTAATGACCCCAGAACACCCCAAGACTGGAATTTTATGGGTTCTAAAGATGACCATGGAACTATACATATATGATGACATCAATAAAATGAATATATTTTATTTTCCTTGGCAAAAAAAAAATTTTAATATCTTTGCGCTATTAGTGTACATATGGTACGTAGCATTAGGTCATAAAAATAATACTATGAACAAGAGTAGTGTGTTGTAAATCCATCTTTAGCAAACGAACTATCAAAGTTTTCTCAAACACATTAGAAACACAGTCTACACACATGTATTTAAGACATTATAACATTAATTTCATAACATGCAGACGTCAGCAGCAAAAATCTTGCAGGAAACATGCAACTACATTAGAAGCTTACATAAAGAGGTGGATGGCTTAAGTGAGCGGCTGTCTGAATTGTTGGAAACGTCAGACACCACCCAAGCAGCATTAATCAGAAGTTTACTTATGCAATAGAATTGGTTTCTGTTTTTCCCTTATTATATCCCCTCCCTTTTTTGCAATTCTGCTCTTGTTTCCAGGGATTCCCTCACTAGACATCTCTGACTAGTGTTTTTAAATGCTTTGTTTAGTTGAGAAATCAACTTGTTTTGAGCAGTTAAGAATTTTCCTTTTGCCTACATCGTGTTTCATTCATGAAGTTCAGCAAATTTACTTTTAAGTTGTTTATTTCATGATTTTTTAAAATTATTTTCACAATATTACTTTTCTTAAATTAAGGCCAACCTTTACTCATCCAAACATGCTAACGTGATAAAAAAAAAATTTGGAGAACTTCATGTTGTTGGTGTTGGAAAAATTAGTGCAAAATATATTTTGCTAAGTTTCACAAGATGAAACTTGGATAGAGTTCAGAATTACAAGAAATAATATGATGTAAAAAGGCATAAATATATTCGGGGAAAGAGTTCGACCCTTTCTCCTTAAAACGAGATTGTGCTGTACACGTGTTTACGGTTTGTGAGAACAAGTCTTCCAGTATACAATGACAAAGCTTGTTTGGGATGTATTTATAATCTGTTTGGATTATATATAGATAGAAATGGATAGCGAATAAACGAATAGTAACGTGTGAATAAAATTAAATTTAATTAATTACAAACAGTCAAACATGGGTATATGCCAATTATTGAATAAGCTGATTAGGGGCTTAACCGAAACATTATAAATTTGGTAATTATAACTATGTGTGCTAAATTAAGTTTGGTGTGGAATGTTACTAGACATTTCATATGTGGGTTGTCGAGAGCTATTTCAGCTTAAATCTAGATCTATCAATGAATTTGTTGTGTCGTTAAAATTGATTATTTAAACATAAAATTAAACCACCTACTGGCAATTGTTTCTCTTTCTGATTCCGCAGGTTCAGGAGAAAGCGAAGTTCTAAAGAAAAGAAAGAATCGAAGTTTTCCACAGAAAATGGGAATCTTGTGTTACAATAGAAGCATAAGTGATGTGGATTATTCAAGAATCGAAGTCAAATTGCTTTTTGTGTTTCATTTACAACAAAATTGCATGTTAGACTGTAATTTAAAATAAGGGAAACTGGCTTGAGTTAATACCTAACGTTCGAATATCTAAGGATTGTAGAAACAAATATTTACACTAGGAACTAAAATGGAGCAAAATTACTTATTGTCAAAATTGATTTCAGAAATTACTTTATCTCACTTATAAATTCTTTTTAGAATGCAAATCTTACTTTACTTTCTGAAAAATGTAACTTTTGTAAAAATGAGAACTTTATGACATTATCTAAGTGCTGGGTATGTAATCTAATGTTGCAATATAAATAAGAAATTTGCTAAAACCAAATGTATGTTTTTGATATGTAGTTATGCAACATATATACTCAAAATTTAAATGGAAAAATTGGTGTTGACATGTCTAAGGTTTCATACTCGAGACTCTATGGTATAAATAAATAAAACTAGCCCCTCATATGGTGGTCGAGTTGGTGGAGTAAGTGAGTATGGAGACCTTTCGTCACGAGTTCGAGCTTGCCTAATACGATTTATTTGGTTGACGTGATTTGCAAACCATTGCATCAGTCCGAGGGTTTACCCAATATGCACTAGAAGGATAGCGACTGAGAGTTCCCCCGTCATAAAAAAAAAAATAAATAAATAAAACTATCTATTTTTATTATTATTAATATTACTGTGCTCATCTTTGTTTGGATAAAGCCCTATGTATAGGGCTTTTTTCACAGGGGTCTTACCGATTCCTCACATGAGGTCTGTCCCATATGAGCTCCCATGCAATAAAAAATGGAAAAAAAAATCCTGATCCCACTCCTTGTGAGAATCTTATAAGTGTTCTGTAATGTGTTGGGCTTGTACGCCAAGCACTATCCTCTTTGTTTATGGTATGGAAAGTGCTAGTTTGTGGCCCGGTAAAAATGGCAGAAAAAGTGCTGACTATTATCCGCAAACATTGACTTTGTTTTTTCCACCAACATGTTACTCAAATTTTGACATTAAAGAAAGATTAAATATTATTTTATTTATTAAAGTTCGGCCAATCGATTGATAATAATATTGACAATTTAGGTTTGAAATAGATGGTCATCAGGTTGATCTGAACCTTAATTCGGCCTCATTAGAGAACCTTTCACATAAATGAACAAAATTTGAAATCAGAAAAAATTTAACTGGAGAAACTAACTATATTTAACAATGCAAAATTTCAATTAAAAACAATAGAAATGACAAAAATATTTTACACTAAAATGTACTTTTCAACCAAAAGCTACTCAAAAAAATTTCATAGCACAGCTTAAATCTCAATTAAAATCAAATTTTTAACTATTATTTCACTATTACAATCGTCATTTTTTAATTATTTTCTCACAGGTAGGACCCACTTTATCTCTAATGGTCAAAAAATCAATTAACAAAATCCCTATGAAACAAGCCAATCTCTAAGATCTAAATAGGAATCATGTAAACCATAATGTGCTTGTAAACCTCTCCTGGATTAACAGTCTGCGACGGAAAATTAGGATGATTAACTGGATCAGGAAATCCTAGTGACTCCAAGGACAATGCAACATAATTTTTGTACACAAATCCCCTTTTGCCTACTACATTTTCCAGCATATTACTGGTATAAAATTGCAATCCAGGTTGATCACTCCACAGCTCCATTTTCCTACCTGATTTTCCATCTTGCACCAGGGCCACCTTCGATAAATGCCTCCTGTGCCCTGTCTGGCTGTCTTATCGATAACATTGTTGATATCATATCCATTAGAAATCTCCTTGATCCTGCTCTCAATTTCCTTGGCTTGAGGAAATCATAAGCGGTTCCATTGACCGGAGAAATTTCACCAGTCGGAATGAGTTTGTCGTTGACTGAAGTAATGTGGGACCCAAAAATCTGGATTTTGTGTGAAAGTGTATCTCCATTGTTGTGACTTCCAAGATTCCAATAAGCGTGGGATGCTAGATTGATTGGGGTGGGCTTGTTCATAGGCATGCCTTGCATTTTTAATGCTAATTTATTTGGTTCAATGAACATGTAGGTCACATATACATAAGCCGAGGAATTAGTGGACTCGACCATCTTCTCAAAATAACCTTTGACCAAGTTAGAAAAAAATAAAAAAATGCAAAAATGTTTAAAAACTAAATAAGGAATGAATATCCATTTTACCCTCACTTGTAAAGAGAGAAAAGGGTGGTGTAAAGGACCCATGACCTAGGCACCGGTCAAGAACCCAAAAAACTGACGATCCAGAACACCATTTTTCTGACCTTGAAGAAAGTAAGCTTTGATTTTTGACTGAAAATCATTTTTCTATGTATATTTGTTGAAAAATCTTTACAAAAATGATTTCATATTGTATTTTGAGCATAATATACATGTTTTGAAGCAAAAAAGTGGCAATTTTAAAGACAATTCAAAATTATACGAACAATTAAATAACTAAAATAAATAAATTAATACAATGAATTAAAAAAGCTAAGCAAATAATATACTTACACAATTAGAAATTAGAAGTTAAAATATTAAAATAAACTATTAAATTAAGTATTAAACAAGCAATTAAAATAACTAAAAAATATTAAAAAAATATACATAAACAACTAAAAAATTTGATGAAACGTTTAAATAAACAATTAAATTAAGTGTTACAAAAAATAATTAAATTAAGCAATTAAAATTTGAAATTAAAATATCAACAAAAATAATAAAATTAAGTATTAATAAAATAATGAAACTAAGCAATTAAAATTAGTATTTAAGGTAAATAATTAAATATTAAATAAATAGTATACAGAAACAATTTAAATAACTAATGAAATTTTTAAATAAAAAATTAAATCAAGTATTAATAAATTAATTAAATAAAGCAATTAAAAATTGTAATTAAAATAGAAACATAAATAATTAAATTGAGTATTAATAAAATAATGAAATTAAGCAATTAAAATTAGTAATTAAGACAAATAATTAAATAATAAATATATAATATGCATAAACAATTAAGATAATTATTTAAATGTTAGAATAAACAATAAATTAAGTATTACAAAATTAGTAAATTAATTAAATTATGTAATTAAATAAATAATATACATAAACAATTAAAATAACTAGCGACATGTTTAAATAAAAAAAATTAAATTATGTGTTAGTAAAATAATTAAATTAAGGAATTAAAATTTGTAATTAAGATAAAAATTAAATATTAAATATATAATATACCAAAACAATTAAAATAATTATGTAAATGATAAAATAAACAATTAAATTAAGTATTACTAAAATAATAAAATCAAGCATTTAAAATTAGTAATTAAAATAGGTAGTTAAATAAATAATATACATAAACAATGAAAATATTTATTTAAATGTTAAAATAAAAAATTAAATTGAGCATTAATAAAATAATGAAATTAAGCAATTAAAATTAGTCATTAAGATAAATAATTAAATATTAAATATATAATATACATAGACAATTAAAATAAGTATGTAAATGTTAAAATAAACAATTAAATTAAGTATTAAAAAATAATTAAATTGAGCAATTAAAATTAGTAATTAAAATAGGTAATTAATATAGGTAATTAATACATAAACAATTAAAATACTTATTTAAATGTTAAAATAAAAAATTAAATTTAATATGCGGATTATATAAAGAATTAAATACTAAACAAATAATATACATAAACAATTAACATAATTATTTAAATCTTAAAATAAACAATTAAATTAAGTATTAAAAGAATAATTGAACTGAGTAATTAAAATTAGTAATTAAGATAAATAATTAAATATTAAATAAATAATATACATAAATAATTAAAATAATTAATATTTCTTTACAATCATTTCTTTTATTCCATTATCTGTTGATTATTGTATACAGTAACAGCTTATTATTTTCATTTTTTAATATTATTTTTTTATTCATTATCTATCACACATGGTTCTGACATTTGAAATTTCGCAAGATGGAATATTATTTGAACGACACCGTCAGACAGATCCCTGTAACTTTGCTAGCTTCTCTTTGGTATTAGATTTGTTAGATGCTGAGCAGACATGCTACGTCGATCCTGCTACCCTTGTATTCCTTGCGCGACGTACAGTTTTCAGGGTAGCTGCTAGATGCATTAGTATATCGGTTGCTTAAGCCAGTAGAAGGAGATTTC